ACAGTATGGCAGACTAAAAGCGAATTTGCAAAAGATAGATGCAACATAATGCGATCACTGAAAATTCAATAAATGGTTTTGAAAGGGAACAAATCTGGTTTCCATAATGAAGCTTTTCTTACAGTGTGGATTTAAGAATTCAGCACTTTCAGCTACTAATGTTAATGTGTCCAACTTAAGTAAAATCATCTGGTGCAGTGGAGCTCAGTGAAACTGTTCAAATGACAGGTCAGTCTAGAAATTCCTGCTAAGATTATACACATCTTAGTAGGGTGTTTCTTTATTCAGTGAGTCTGATTAGGGTAGAAGCCACATGTTCAGTGTCAGACCAACAATGAATGTATCCTGGTTTGGTATTGTACAGTGTGTGTTTAAAGCTTGATTTGTTCATTTATTTGAGAGAGTTATTCATTTTTATAAACAATAATGCCATAGTGTCCTTCAATAAAACGAGAATGATGGGAACATTCTATTTTTATTCAGTTTATTTTCTTGATGTAATACATGCACTGTTATTAAAAGTCTGAGGGTGAGTCAGGACATTTGCGAGAGAATAATAAAACTGCTGCACTGTATTGAAAGAACATTATTACTGTCACGATTCGGTTCCGTTGCTTCCTGTCAGGCTTTTATTTTGACGTTACTTCCTGTTTTTGTTTCACCTTAGTTTCGGTCTTTTTACGTTCTTCATCACTCACATTGGTTTCACCTGTTTCGTTATTGTGTGCACCTCTACTTAGGCAGCGTCCTCCCACCAGGATGCTGCCAGATTGTTCTAGACTCCAGCTCCAACTCTCCAGCATTTATTCCTTGCCTGATTCTCTGTTTCTGACCTTGGATTACTGTTTTTGACCACCATGTTTTGCCTATGCCCTTCCAGTTTCTGATTGCCTGCAGTGTACCAACCTTCTGAGTTATTCCCCTTGACCTCTCGAGTTTGGATCTCCTGGCTATACCTGTCTACCGGCGCTGACCCTGGACTGTCTTATCGACCTGATTGTGTATCCCGGACTATGTATTGATTGTCTAGTTGCTACAAGTAAAAACCTTCAGCTAAATCAGTTCGTTTGGTCTTATAATTGAGTCCACCACAAACACCATTTGGCGTTCTTACACGTCAAATCTGACATATTACATTTGTTTCTGCTTTGCTGTCACAAATAGATCTGCTGTTTGGTTGAATGTTGTTCCTCTTTCTGCAGAGTAGATGTTATGGATGCAGAGACTCATTGATCTGAGCCGCAGCTTGGAGGATGAACAGCTTCTTAAAGAACAGATTTAAAAAAAAAAAAAAGAAGCTCTATTGCAGCACATCCACACTGAATAGTCTAATGACCTGCCAAGACTCGACTGATGAATTGCACCGTGTCCTCCCTGAGGACTAAGTGCTGCAGTGCTCCTTCACTTTGTAAAAGCTGACAAATGCAGAGTTTTTTCTTACAAAGGTAACACTAGATCACTGCATGTTTCCTGATGCAGTGCACTACTTCAGCAGCCCGGCGGGCTTTGAGCTGCAGTGTAATTTAAAACATGTTACAACACATTGTTCTTCAAAGAACCTCTGAAAGTCTGAAATGCTTCCATGTTTTAGAGAACAGTGAAATGATTTCAGGCATCATGTTAACATCAGGGGTGGACACAGTCATTTTTTGGATTGTTGAAAAATGAATAAATTTCATCTCATACAATTGATTTTTCTAACATGTCAGTCATTCACTGAGATCATGATTCAAAACTGTCAGATTCTGTCTTTTATTAATCACACTTGCATTTGTCTGAGAGCACAGTAAGAGCGGTCACTTCTAAACCTGCTATTATAGATGGCTGTATAACTACACTGCCAGGTTAAAAACACATTTTCTATAAAGCAAGAGTTACTACAAGCTCTTTTTTCCCACCTCAAACTTTTTTATATTGCTCTTTTTAATTTTCCTCAACGCAGAATAAGTGTTACACAGCTCTAAATAATTTAATACCCATGAGCCTCAGCTGCTGTTGCCATACAGAAGTGTGAATCAGAGCTGTAGCAGATTCACAATGCCCCAAAACATGACAGATCAGTTTTCTCAAACACAGATTTTTTTTTAAATTTGAAATACTGTTTTTAGTAACTTGTATCATGGGAGTAATAGTTAACTCCTCTCCCTCTCCATTGACTTATTAAAGATCCAGATGTTTTCTATCACAGGTTTATTCTTTTGCACTGATGATCCAACTGTCAGTCACCTTAGAGTGACAATGTGGGAAGAGTTCGGTGAGGCCATGGAGAAGGACTATCGGTCAGCCTCGAAGAGATTCTGGCAAACCGTCCAGCGCCTCAGGAGGGGGAAGCAGTGCCCTGCCGAAACTGTTTACAGTGGAGGTGGGCAGCT